GAATGACATTGTACAATAAAATCTAAACAGCAGAAGGCTACTAGTTCTGTCCCTCTAATTGCCTTCTAGTATCATCTGGAGTTTTGCAACTAACTAAGTTATGCCTAGGCAAATCAATAAAAAGAATTGTCATCATTGTGTTTTTAAGGAGGCTTTGGAAGGGAGGAGTCTCTGTCTATCTCTATATCTCTATCTATCATCTGTCTGTTTATCTATCTATCTATCTATCTATCTATCTATCTATCTATCTATCTTGTTTTCTCTTAATGTGGGATCTAAACATGAAAAGTGGAACATTGGCTTAGATCTTAATTAGAGCTCTTGGAAACAAACTTTATTTCACTTCAATTTGCTTTCAGACTCAACTATGTCAAACTTTAAATGAAGAATACCACCGATGAGACTTCGTATCTTTTGCTTAAACAGGTTGCTTGTCCCAGGATCTTTCTGTTTCCTTTTCTTTTCTTTTTGTAAATGTAGCATTTTTCCTACTGCATACTTAACGTTATTTTTAGCTTCTAAATGAATAGTGAACTCTTCTTGTTTTTTGTAAACCATATAAACAAAATGTTTTTTTACAAAATATTATTTGGCAGATGATATTTCCAGAAATAAATTTGGAACAAGATGTTGAATATTTTAAGAGATAGGCAGGAAAAATAAAAATGATTACAGAACATCTGCCTGCTGGAAACGTGAAACAGCTGTGCAAAATCTTTGAAATAGGTCACATTGATTTAAAGCAAATTGTTAACTTTCATGGCCATCATTAAAAGCCCAACTGAAATCAACATGAGGAAGGACCTTCTAGATCAGGGCTGTCAAACTCCCGGCCCGTGGACCAGATGCATCACATGCTGGCCATGCCCATGCCCAGTTTAGTGAAGGGGGAAAAAGTCCTGATACAACATGTGACGAAGCCGTGATGCCGTGAATTTGACACCCCTGTTCTAGATCTTTAAAAAACTGCCTCCCTCATTAATTAAATTATAACTCTCATCCTCCCTAGTCAGAGTAGCCAACAAGGATTATAGTGCTACATACTTGGAGAGCACCAGATTGGGAAAGATGGTTCTAGACAGTGACGGTATACAGTGACGGTATTTAGTCAGCCACCAATTGTGCAAGTTCTCCCACTTAAAAAGATGAGAGAGGCCTGTAATTGTCATCATAGGTAGACCTCAACTATGAGAGACAAAATGAGAAAACAAATCCAGACAATCACATTGTCTGAATTGGAAAGAATTTATTTGCAAATTATGGTGGAAAATAAGTATTTGGTCACCTACAAACAAGCAAGATTTCTGGCTCTCACAGACCTGTAACTTCTTCTTTAAGAGGCTCCCCTGTCCTCCACTCATTACCTGTATTAATGGCACCTGTTTGAACTTGTTATCAGTATAAAAGACACCTGTCCACAACCTCAAACAGTCACACTCAAAACTCCACTATGGTGAAGACCAAAGAGCTGTCGAAGGACACCAGAAACAAAATTGTAGACCTGCACTAGGCTGGGAAGACTGAATCTGCAATAGGCAAGCAGCTTGGTGTGAAGAAATCAACTGTGGGAGCAATAATTTGAAAATGGAAGACATACAAAACCACTGATAATCTCCCTCGATCTGGGGCTCCACGCAAGATCTCACCCCGTGGGGTCACAATGATCACAAGAACGGTGAGCAAAAATCCCAGAACCACACAGGGGGACCTAATGAATGACCTACAGAGAGCTGGGACCAACGTAACAAAGGCTACCATCAGTAACACACTACGCCGCCAGGGACTCAGATCCTGCACTGCCAGACGTGTCCCCCTGCTTAAGCCAGTACATGTCCGGGCCCGTCTGAAGTTTGCTAGAGAGCATTTGGATGATCCAGAAGAGTCATATGGTCAGATGAAACCAAAGTAGAACTGTTTGGTAGAAACACAACTCGTCGTGTTTGGAGGAGAGAGAATGCTGAGTTGCATCCAAAGAACACCATATCTACTGTGAAGCATGGGGGTGGCAACATCATGCTTTGGGGCTGTTTCTCTGCAAAGGGACCAGGACGACTGATCCATGTACAGGAAAGAATGAATGGGGCCATGTATCGTGAGATTTTGAGTGCAAACCTCCTTCCATCAGCAAGGGCATTGAAGATGAAACGTGGCTGGGTCTTTCAGCATGACAATGATCCCAAACACACCACCCGGGCAACAAAGGAGTGGCTTCGTAAGAAGCATTTCAAGGTCCTGGAGTGGCCTAGCCAGTCTCCAGATCTCAACCCCATAGAAAACCTTTGGAGGGAGTTGAAAATCCGTGTTGCCCAGTGACAGCCCCCAAACATCACTGCTCTAGAGGAGATCTGCATGGAGGAATGGGCCAACATACCAGTGTGTGCCAACCTTGTGAAGACTTACAGAAAACGTTTGACCTCTGTCATTGCCAACAAAGGATATATAACAAAGTATTGAGATGAACTTTTGATATTGACCAAATACTTATTTTCCACCATAATTTGCAAATAAATTCTTTCCAAATCAGACAATGTGATTGTCTGGATTTGTTTTCTCATTTTGTCTCTCATAGTTCAGGTCTACCTGTGATGTCAATTACAGGCCTCTCTCATCTTTTTAAGTGGGAGAACTTGCACAATTGGTGGCTGACTAAATACTTTTTTGCCCCACTGTACTTGAGCAGCAAAAACTCATAGAGGACAAAGTGCCACATTGCTACATGACCAATAATTGCAGGACACAAAGGAATAGCTGGCCTGCCAATCAGCTAGCAATGCTGGCAGCAATAGAGCTGGCAATGTCAATGAGGCCTGGAGATGTGTGACAAGCATTCAGTAGCATGTCTTTCAAGGAGGAGGTGGCAGTGAAAAATTAAGTAGCAGCAGATCCTTCCTGGCAATAGCAACATTTAGTCTCAGTTTAAAAAAAAAACAAACATCAATAGGCTGCATAAGGATGCTTGGTGGGTCACAAAGTGAGGACAGGAAACTTTGTGACCTGTAGTTTCTATAGCCAATGGCCGGGAGCTTTAATCCAAAATATATAAGAGATTTAGAGATACTGTGGCTGAGATTAAATTATACTAGTACATGTGAGATCCAAGTTCAACTATTCAATCAAAAAGACCTTCGCAAATCTTGAGACAGTCATCTTTTCATTAGACAGCTCATTTTATGATGTTTGTCTGTGGGTATCTAGGGGAAAGAACCTTGCCATTCTGAGACCTCTAGAAGTAAGCTAAGATGTAAACATATGAATACACACTTTGATAGTGAGCCAAAATTTATCACTAGGACCATGTCTATCATACAACAGATATATATGGATTTTTGTTCATTCCTGCTCTTTAGTATCATTAGAAATATCTTTAAAACACATCACAACCTTGTTATATATAACTTTCCCTCTTCTAGGTCCATCTCTAATTGTACTGGTTTCCTGAGATTTCTAATTTATGTTTAAAGTCCCAGCTTTTACCCAAACACAGATTTTAGAAGAGGGCAATTGTTCCCAAAGTTGAGCTACTCCTTCAAGACACTTTATAGAGTATGGAGAGTGTTCCCTTGCCTGCTTTTCAGCTCCAAATTGTGGAGAAGGGGAACAGTGCAACATGTTTATTAGAAATAATAGCACCCTCCCCATTGTAATTGTTATGTTTGTGCCCATGAAGTAAGTCTCACCATTTTCAAATAAGTCAAATGAATATTGACATAGAGTTTGAACCTTTGGATTTTCTTGTTCCTTTTCTGTACCCCATTCTAGTTGTGTTCATCTCAAGTGAGCAAGCCATAGCTTTTATACAAGCACTAAGGTTTCTTTAAAATGCCTGGCACTCTGTTCCCCTTTCTGCATCTGTCTCAATTTAACCTTCATATTTTCAAGAATGTAGCTCTCATATTAGATGGCAACTGAAAACATCTGGGTCCAGCTGTTAAAAATTCCAACTTTTACACCAGCAAACTAGCAAGGGTAAAACTTCCACTTCCACTTTCTATTAATTCCTTGCTCTGCCAATGCAAAAGTCATATAGATGTACTGCCAATTTCTTTCTTGTATTGCTAAACATCAAGTGAAGGGACAGGATTGGGATATACTGAGGAGCAGTACAGTCTATGTAGTATGGTACATGAAATCTCTGCAGAGATTTCATCAAAATAATATGTGTGTTGTGATGCCACAAGACAGCAAGCTTGGCACTTTATATATTTGTGAGCAACATAATAAAACAACTATAATAGGAGGTTGTTCCATCAACAACATCACAATGCACATTTTATTTCCCCTCTCTTGCCTCCTCCAGACCATGTAGGTGATAGGGAAGCTTGTTGTACTGTTTGACATGTAGCTTTATTTTTTCATCAGTGCCAAAGTTTGTAATACCTTTGAATATATACTGTAAATGTTATGGACTTGTTTTCTTGATTGTAGGCACGCCATTGCAAAGGCCATGAGCTTGGTTCTTTTCTGCTTGTGCCTTTTCATTTCACCAGCACAAAGCTTTTGATAGCTTTAATGTAAGCCACTCTGGAAGACGGATCCACTGGTGGCCTTCTTCAGTGATTGAAGGATTCTTTTGCACTCAGAAAGATCTTTTCCAACTTAACACCAGAATTTGGTATCCTAAAAGAGCTGAAACCCATATGAAGTCTCTAGCTCAAGATCACAAAGCATTCCATGGGATCTTTCATTGTACAACATTCATCATTTTTTGCAAAAATGTACACAACAAAGCACCTCTGCCAGAATCAGTTGGGTGTATAGGAAGCCACAGTGAGTTCCAGATCATGACTTAGATGTCATACAAACGGTGCAATGCTCCTTCATATTGTGTCATTTGTGTTATAAACCATCACACACGTTGTCATTTTCCCTTTAGTCTTCCTCAACCCATAGAATTCTGTCCACAACAGAATTACTTCTGCTAAACCTTGCTGTATCCAGCCTAATATCTTTCTTGGATCTACAACAATTGAATTTCTTTCCTTTTTTCTTTGTCCTCTTAGGAAATCCTCCACACAGAGAGTCTTTCATCTCTTGAAAGCAGCTTCACGTTAGATCCAGAAGATCGGCAGAATTATCCTGGTCACCAGGCAGCACACCGGTCATTGGCCAAACAGCGATTCAGGCAGCAGAATGGGCATACATCCTTGCAAAGAGATGGACCCAGATCTTTCCTTTTCGATCTTCCAAATTTTCCTGACTTCTCAAAAGCAGATATCAATGGGCAAAACCCTAACATCCAGGTAAAGATCTTCTGATTTATTCTTTGAATTTGATTTTAAAGCGATCATGGACTTAACATGTACCTTTTTAAAAAAAGCACTTTCAAATATCAGGAACAAAGGTGGGGGGAAGCAAGGTAATAATTGGGCATTTCATACTATAAAGGAAATAAATAATGTTGCATGAACTCTATTAAATATTTGTGCATTATGTGAAAAAATATGAAAATGGCAGGTGCAAGAAAAGAGTGCTTTGTTAAATTCCTGTATTTTTGCTCTATGGTATAGCTGAGATCATTATTTGATTAAATAATGCACCTTATTGATTGATTGATTAATTAATTGACTTGAAATCCCATTATTAGTCTTGGTGTAATATCAAACAGACTACAGACTTATCTCCTAATGTGAACAGCAGAAAAGGAAAGTGGAAATTAATGTGAGAATGATTAACTTTCCCTTGGATGATTTTTTAAAAATCACTAACAGGGTCTCACCACAGTAGTGGTAAAATGTGCACAGTTAAAGGCATAGTTTCTTTCAATTGTAATTTAAATTGGCTGACTTCTCCTGAGGATTTTGGACCACAACTAAATCAGAGCGAACCTGGAGTCTTTTAGACCAATGTTACTTTGGAAACCAGCTTTGTATTTTTATTCAGATTATCATAAGTGGATTGAAAAAAATGGGATAACCATTAATTGGCAGCAAACAGAGATTTCTTTATCCTTTGCTGCTGTCTCATGGTCATCTGAATTTTTGTAGGCCAGATCAGGGACCTTAAATTTAGAATCACCATTAGATCTCAAGCAAATTCTTCTGGGATCATCTCTTAGAATATTTCCAGTATTCTAAAATAGAATGTTTGCCTGTGAATAGAACTGAATACTGTATATCTGTGTGATGTTCTCTTTCATGGTCCAGCAGATGCATTCAAGTAGATACATGTAAAGTTGTCAATTTCTTCCTATTTTGTCTTCTCTCTACCCATTTTAGGCTTAATATGAATGAGCATTTATTTATGCCTGCCTTGCCCATTGCCCATTCCAGCTGGGAATTCTGGAAGCTGTCACTCTAAATACATCTGGAGACTGGGGAAGGGCAGCTTCAATATTTCCACTTTAAAGTAGCAATCATCCACTACTTAGAAAGATTTTCTAGGATTGCATTAACCTAGTGCCAGTGGAAATGAGCACAGTGCCTATCTGTTTACTGATTGTTTGCCTGCATCTGTTTCAGTAACAAAATATTTTATTCAGCTCCTCGGAATCATTTGAAAGGGTAACCCGAGCAGCTGTTACTTTTGTGCTACAGCTGCTTTTTTAAATTTGATTGCCAAATCAGCAGCCAAATGCACCACTGCACTCAAGTAAACGAATTCCCAGGAAGTTCTTGAAAATGAGGTACTTTTAAAGATATTTCTTTAGGGAGCATTGATTTCTTTTTCTTTCTCTCTGAGAAGCTCTTTTGTTAATGGGCACTGATTTGACACATGCCAACTCATGCAGTCAGGCTGGCATAGCAGGGCTATTCACCGGGCAACAGGTTCACTTTCTTCTCCCTCGAAAGAAAGGGAAGTCATGTGTAAGCAAAAGGACTTGGCTGCCAAGTCATTTTATGTGTGATGTACGTTTTTGCTTTTCAAGCCTATTTAAAAAGCGCCTGAGTTCCAGGAGGTCCTGAAATTAGGTCCAATATTTCATTTCTTGACCTGAATGTTCCCTTTCTTCCAGTTTTTCAGTAACTATTTCCCATGCTTTCATAGAGGGAGCCCTAATAACCCTTTGCCACAAAATCAAATATGACCTGTTGCACCTTGAAGGCCAACCAAATCACAGTATGAGGTAGGATTTCGTGAATCAAAGTCCGCATCTTCAATTATGTTTGAGGTGTTTCCTCTTTAGGCAGGGATGCATCTCACTGTATGGTATAATTTCTCCATCAAATGTCTGTGTATGTTTAAATATACTGTAAATTTCTTTATTCCATGTAAAAACATGCATAGACATACACAGTGTTGCACTGAAATACAGTTGAACTGAAAAATGTGTAGGGTATTACTGGTAATTAGGAAGGTACTGTTAATACAAACATTGGTACGTCAGTGTACTCAAGGAATTTTACTCAATCTGATGCCTTCTGGATTGTTGGGTCTGCAATTCCCAAACTTTGACCAGACTGGGGAAGAGTCACTTCTAGTACTGATAATGTTGGAGTAAATGGATCAGTGGTTTGATTGTACAGATAAAATTCTATGGATAATATAAGTAGCTTGTATATTATTTATTTATTTATTAAACTTGTATGCTGTCCATCTTGCCAGAGGCAACTCTAAGTGGCATACAGGCATTCCATTAAAATTCACTATAAAACATTAAATCAATAAATAAAGACCATAAGTTTAAAATTCAATTAAAATAAAACTCAGGAATGAAGGTGACTATACGTGTCCCAGGACAATGTAGCAGGATCCAATCTGGAGCTAGAGAGAAGTTTCCTGAAGATGGACTCAAGTGGACTTCTGGTGCAGATGGCCAATTAAATGACATGCCCAGGGAAAGATCCCTGAAGGTTTTTTCCTTGGTTGTCACTTTTTCAACTTAGCAATAGAAGGAACCGGGATTCCTTTAGTTTATATGACTCTCCTTGGTTAGGGAGAGTCCTAGAATCATCCCATAAGATCCTCCATATAGCAACCGTCTGCAAGTAGCTTCAGGAGCTGTGCTTCGAAGTGCCAACAGCTGGGGGGGGGGATGCAATCAGTTTGTTGTTGAAAAAGCAACCATGTTGGAATTTATTTTTCAAGCAGACAGTAAGTTGTGCCTTTTGTTTCTTACTCATTTTTAAGGACTATTAATCTTTATTAAACTAAGAGAAGCTCTCTTTAGCCACAGCCTGTTATTCCTTTTTAAAGATCTGTGCCTTTTGGGGGATTTCTTCATTTAACAAGGCTGCTAAGGCAAGCTAAAATGAAGAAGTGTGGAGTATCTTTTTTTTTAAAAAAATGATGGAGAAATATAAGGGTAGAAAGTTGTGGCTCTAGTTTATTATTTTTGGTTATTTGTAGCTTGGTTCTACTTTGCTATGGGTGGCAAAATTTTTCGATTTTTATGATTTCTGATTGGCCAGCAATTCTTCAGTGGCTACTCTTTCCCTAAAGAGAGAGTTAAGATGTTTTTTAAAAAAGTACTCCAGAGATGTAAATATGTGTAGAAAGTTACAAATCTACTTCTACATTGTAAATGTAGAGGAGTCAATTGCAATTTTGGAATATAAACCTGACACCAATCTCTGTTATGCTGGTTTAAATATAAACGTCCTAACACAGTTTGAAAGAAGATTTCCAAGAAAATCTGCAACTTTCAAAAGGACAAGTATGGGACTTTTTCTTCATGGAAAATAACAAAGTTGAGAAATTCTTAAGAAAAAGATAACTTCGTAACTACGTGATAAACATTCCAGAGAAGAAAAAGATTTTATTTCATGAAGTAAGCTGGAAGGAGTGAGTTAAACTTAAAGAATCAATTGGTATTAGGATGGATTTTTATCGGACTGATATTTGTAATTGAAAGTTTTAATGTAAAATGGGTCTGAATTTTTTCCCATTATATATAATGCTTAAGTAATTCTTAAAGTTTGTAAAATATTACTGAAAATGTATTTGAAAATATGTTAAGAAAAAGTTAAAGAAAAAGATATATTAGCTTAAAGAAAAGTTGAGTTTTAAAATTGATACAATTTTATACAAGAAGACCAAATTTATTTTATGAGGATAGCTTGGAGGGAGTGATTTAAATTTAATCAGTTAATCGGAGTTAGTTGGAACTTTATTGATCTAGCTGAAAGTGAAGTTTAAAGTATATAAGTTAAGAGGAAGTTAAAAATGTATTAGAACTTTTTGATCTTAAAAATGTTTTTAAAGAAAAAAATAGTGTTTTAAAATAGATGGGGGAAGTATTTTTTCCCTTTAATGTTAAAGAATTAAAGAATCGAGTGAATTTTGTTAATATAAATGGTGATAGTTTATAAAGATTATTAATTGCAAATAGAAATATATATTATTTCCACAACAAGAAGAAAAAGCAGGAATGGTTAAATTGATTGTTTTATTCAAAGAGAAAATACATACATACATATATATTATATGTCATCACTGAGGCTGAAATCACACTCAGAATGTTTTAGGGAGCTAATATAATACAGTATTTCAAGATAATTTGTCAAAAATTCCAAGGTAGCATTTTAATTCATAATAATATGTGCAAATATACACCAATACTAAATAGTCTGTTGATAAATAATACTGGGACCTTACAGCAGGGGGAAAAAAAGTAAACTAAATAATTGTAAAAACAATATATGTTATTCAGAGCTACTTTGTGGTCCAATAACATCTAAATTTTAATAAAATTATAAACTAATGACCTATGGAAAAAGAATATTAATCATGTATTTCCTATTTTCTTTGACTTTCCATTGGATCCAGTCTTCATTTGTTCATCTCTCCTCTTCTCTGCCTTGTACATGTCCTTGTTCTGTGCCTTCCTCTCCCTAATCTATTCATTCTGCCATGTTTCCACTCTGTAAAATGCGGGAATTTTTGAACATACCTACTTGTTATGGTTTTAAGAAAGTTAAAATGACTATAACAAATTACCGAGGGGTATTGATGGAAAATATGCAACTCTTTCTTCTTATGTAATCACAACCATAATTGTTAATGTGTCCCACGTCACAGCATCTGTAACTTTTCACCCAATTTACATGGGGACTTTTTTTCTCCGATTATTCCTTACTAGATTGCAGCTATCTTGTACGTTTATAAGATTTATTAATATATTAAGAGTTTTTCTGATCTGAAGGAAGACAGCCTTTGAGGCCTGAATGCCGTTTCCTCTTGAATTCTCCAGGTGACTATAGAGGTTGTTGATGGAACAGAGTCTGAATCAGAGAAAGGTCTTCAAAGGGAAAGCAGCAAAACCAGCTGGCCTGTCCTGTCCCCAAACTGGAGAAACTGGTGGCAAAGATCCGCACCTTCCATCACTCGCATGAGTAGTGGTGACCAGGATTACAAATACGATAGCACGACTGAAGACAGCAACTTCCTAAATCCCTTGAATGGCGGGTGGGATAGGCATCCATCAAGTCATCGGATGTTTGAATCAAAGGAGCAGCCCGAATATGGTGAGTGAGCAAAAACCTCACTGGCAAATGTGTGGACAAAACAGGTGTCCATAACAAGGGCGGAATGTTTGTGCATGCGGATAGTGAACAGAAAGAGCAGGAAAAGTCAGGTAGAAAGGCAAGTGGATGTGATTCTATTCACAAACATCAAGGCTTCTGTACTGACAATGAACTTGTTTAGAAGCAGTGGAACTTTACAGAGTCAAAATGGTACCACCCAGGCAGAAGAATGATGTGGTAAGCAGTGCTGTTGGAATTTCTCCAGAAAGAGAAAGATGGGACCATGCTCAAAAACAAAACAAATTAAACTCACAAATTATTAGAAAAGGTTGAAAAACAATACAAAGTGGGTAGGAAAGGGCATGACCGACTGGAAATACATTTAGTAAAAATCTGCATTGCAACGTTTTGCTGCAGGGCTGACTACAACATACATAAATCCCCAACCAGCATGCGGCTAGCAACCCAGATTGGGTCTACTTTCAACAGCCAGGCTTTCGTGGTGTCCACTTCCATTTTCCTAATTATTATTATTTTTTGTCTCTTCCCTTTCAGATTACATAGAGGGTGAAGGAGACTGGAGTCTGTGGTCAGTTTGTAGTACAACCTGTGGAAGTGGCAATCAGAAACGCACCAGGACCTGTGGATATGCCTGCACAGCCACTGAATCAAGGACATGTGACCGACCAAACTGCCCGGGTAGGAAATAGAGAACAGAATTGTTCATAGCCATGACCCATGTACAAGTATACCCCCCACCCCCATGTGTGTGTGTGTAGATCTAGACCAAATCATTTGTAGTACAAGAAGGAGCTACTGAGGTATCTGGAACTATTTCCTTGCTTGCATCTTTGTAAAGTACATAATAACATAAAGTCAGTGGTGAAATCCAATTTTTTTTACTACCGGTTCTGTGAGCGTGGCTTGGTGGGTGTGGTGTGGCTTGGTGGGCATGGCTTGGTGGGCGTGGCAGGGGAACGATACTGCAAAATCTCCATTCCCACCCCACTCCAGGGGGAAGGATACTGCAAAATCTCCATTCCCACCGCACTCTGGGGCCAGCCACAGATGGTATTTGCTGGTTTTCCGAACTACTCAAAATTTCTGCTACCGGTTCTCCAGAACCTGTCAGAACCTGCTGGATTTCACCCCTGCATTAAAGTGTTTCCTTGCCTTAAAAGGCTCCTCAATCACACTTTTTATTTAAGTATCTTCCATTTCTCGGTATGGTCTACAGACAGTTGGCAGGAAAAAAAAGTGCATTTCTTGCAAAATGCACTAGATGGAGAAGTACTGGAATTAAGAGTCTCATGCCTCTTCTAATTGTTCCTCCCATTATGTAATATTAAACTAATATGAAATCTTGAAGGTTGTGTAGTTAAATCAGATTTCAGAGCACTAAGAAAAGTTATACTCTACAGTGTTTTTCAAGGAAGAGTGGCTGAGATCAAGATAGCACATGCCTCTTTTGTGCTGTATTAGGCTCCTAACTCTGAAATAAGCATTCTGGTAACTATTGATGAGTTCAGCCACTGGAGTGCTCCCTTTCTAATACTTTTTCCTCATGCCTCTATCATACTGTTTGAAATGCAATTAGAGAACCTCCTCTGTGACTCAGACTGTAACACTTGCTGTACTGAACAATAGCTTCCCAGAAACTAGCACATCTAACAAGGGTAATCTTTCAGCAAGGGAGAATGCGGCTTATTTATTAATAGCAGGATGGGCCAACTTTTGAAGATAGCTCTGGTAGATTGGCTGACTGGCTTCTCTTTTCACCAAGAGAGCAGGACTTTCCACACTGCATACTTCCCCACTGCACAGGCAAACCAAATGCAAATTTTCAGATGGTCTCTTTAATCACCATTCAGAATTTTGAAATATCCTAGGTCAGTGATACCGAACCTTTTCAGCACCAAGTGCCAAGAGCAGTTTGCGTGTGTGCGCACCCATCAGGGCCATGACCAGGAAGAGGAGCTGCCCAGGGAGTATGCACGCCCCAGATAAGGTACTTCCGATTTCTGGTGCGTGCATGCGCACTGGCAAACAAGCCTTCCGGTTACTGCGATGAATGTGCATGTGCCGATTAGCTGGTCGGCGTGCATGTTCACACCGGAAAACGGAAGACCAGCTCTTCCGGTTTCTGGCACTGTCGCACGCACAAAGGCCAGCTGATCGTCATGTGCGCATGCGCTCCAGAAACCCGGAAGAGGAACGGGCGATGGCACATATGCCAGGTGACATGTCTCCATGTGCCACTTAGGGCACGGGTGCCATAGTTTGCCATCACGGTCCTAGGTAAATATGGTTATGGCTGTTTTATGATTTAATGCAAGCAGTAGAGTTACAGTGAATTCTAATCTCTTGTTGGGCAGAAAGTACAATATTCACAATTTCTGTATGTGAAAATGTGTTGTTATTTATAATTTGGCTGCTCCAAAAAGCTTCAAATAATAGGCTTGCATGAGGCAAACTCAAGACGTAGAAGGAGAATACAGAAAATGATACATTGAAATGATAAGAAATCATTTTGCTGTTTCTTCAAATTTCTCCATGCAGTGTAAAGGAACTAAACTGCAGAACATTGAGTAAGGGCAGGGTTTTTGACTGCCTTAAAAGTTACATACTTCTTATTGGGAGTACTGGGACTTTAGTCCCTGTACCTTGGGGATGGATCTGAGTGAACTCAGGGGTTCATGGCTTCCATGTTACCCATGGGCCTGTCCCAGAAGTTTCAAACCTGATAATAAAGACCATCGGACTTGGTCTTTACTTCAGAACAGATTCAAAATAAACTATCAAGAGCCTTGATAGTACAGTGGTCTACGCACCCTGTTATTAACACAGCTGCCTGCAATTTCTGCTGGTTCGAATCTCTCCAAGGCTCAAGGTTGACTCAGCCTTCCATCCTTTCTAAGGTAGGTGAAATGAGGACCCAGTTTGTGGGGGCAATAAGCTGACTTTGTATAAATATACAAAAGTATGAAGGCTATTACTTAACGCATTGTAAGCCGCCCTGAGTCTCCGGAGAAGGGTGGCATATAAATCAATTTTTTTTAAAAAATGCAAGACATTGTCATCTGTATTTCTAATTTGTAGTCAGATCCCTTTCTGATGTATGCACTCATTGTTAGCATACTGGACCATTGCAAAGATGAGGGACCAGTCAAGATGGTCTGCCCCAGGCAACTGATGGACTTACTGCATTTTCTGAGGCACTTGGGAGAATTACCCAGCTTTTTTGTGGGCAGTTCTGCCATGCAACTTGCTCACTTTTGAAATTGAAAGGAGCAAAGGCATTGCCTCTGCAGAAGATTGCCTCCCTTCATGAATCCTGAGGGTTTTCAGTGAGATGCTATGGGAGATGAAGGAGATGAAAAGACACCACCTAGAGCAATGGTGGAAGAAAAGAAAGGGTGAATATATAACCAAACAAGGTAGCATTCCCATGTTTGAGAGAATATCATGGATATAAGAATTGTGAAGTGTGCACATTTCTCCGTTGTTACTGTCTTTTGCAGATTTATATCCAGCACCTTTGTTCAAGATTATATTCCTTCCTGGAGAGGGACAAGTGTGAAGATATTCCTGCAGGCCCATGTGACATGTTAACAAAGTTCTTTGCAAATAAAATCATTCTCATTTACTTAGAGATGGGTGCAATGGCACACTGGCAAGGGATAGTGAGATGAACTTTGATAGTGATTTTTGAGCTGTGAAAGCAGATATGGATATGTACTCTTGTTATCTGTACATGTAAGGATTCATGTTCTACCTGTCTTACTCATGCAGTTAGGTGGGGCATGTAATTGGATTTGAGAGGTAGTTAACACCTTTTTGAAGAACGGGGAGGCCATCTATCTTTAAGGAGGCAATGCTGAACCGTCTTCTGAAGGGATCATCTCTCAATCCAGCTACCTTAGGCAATGATTAGCCAATCTCCAAACTTCGCTTTTAAGAAAGGTTTTGGAGAAGATATTGGGGCATTAATTACAGACGATCCCAGATCTCTTTTAGCCAAGTTCCAGACCTGAATATGGAAGGGAACAGTCCTGATTTCCCTCCTACATGATCTTTGTCAGAACCATGACTACCTTTATATTCTTCCATAGCTTCAGTACTTACATAACTTCTTTCACAAGATTTGGTGTGTGTGTGTGTGTGTGTGTGTGTGTGTGTGTGTAGGAAGCATGTATTGATGATTCTCACCCTGCATGCGGTGAAGGGAAAACACTGGCATGCTTTCTCAGAAGCTGCCCATGTACTCTGGAACTCCTTATTTCTTCTGAATCTCCTGGCCTACAGAAAAAATGTTGAGCCCTGCTATTCTGCACTGTATTGGGGTGCCAACGGTGTGAGCATTGCCTTGAGGCTACAGATAGTCCTCAACTTATGACCACAATTGAAAATTGATGTTGCAAAGCAAGACAGTTGTTAACTTAATTTTGCCTCATTTTATGACCTTTCTTGCCATAGTTGTTAAGCAAGTCACTGCAGTTGTTAAATGAATCTGGCTTCCCCATTGACTTTGCTTGTAAGGTCGCAAAAGGTGACCCCAGGACACTGCAACTGACTTAAATATGAACGAGTTGCCAAACATTTGAACTTTAATCACGTGTCCATGGGAATGCTGCAATAGTCATAAGCGTGAAAAATGGTCATAAGTCACTTTTTTCAGTGCCACTATAACTTCAAACGGTCACTAAACAAATGGTTGTAAGTCAAGGACTACCTGTAGTTCTCTAGTGTGTTTTTTTTTCCAATCTATCACAGTATTTGCTATATTTTAACATTTTGGGTTGATTGTAAATTACCCCAAGTTCAAGGAACTAGTTAGCAAAATTCAGTTAACAACTGTCTTGCTTAGCAACATAGATTTTCAGTTGTGGTCATGAGCTGAGGATTTATTGTGTATAAATATAAATACACAATGACTTTTGTATGATAATCCTAAATTGCATTAACAGAGGGATACAATCAAGATCAAGTGAGGTACTAATACCACTCTATAAAGCCCTAGTAAGACCACACCTAGAATACTGCATCCAGTTTTGATCACCACACTATAAAAAAGATGTTGAGACTCTAGAAAAAGTGCAGAGGAGAGCAACCAGGATGATTAGGGGACTGGAGACTAAAACATATGAAGAACGGTTACATGAACTGGGCATGGCTAGTCTAGTAAAGAGGACGACCAGGGGAGACACGATAGCCGTCTTCCAATACTTGAGGGGCTGCCACAGAGAGGAGAGGGTCAAATTGTTTTCCAAAGCACCTGAAGGCCAGACAAGGAATAATGGATGGAAAATGACCAAGGAGAGATTCAACCTAGAAATGAGGAGGAACTTTCTGACAGTGAGAACATTCAACCAATGGAACAGCTTGCCTTCGGAAGCTGTGGGAGCTTCATCACTTGAGACTTTCAAGAAAAGATTAGACTACCATTTGTCAGAAATGGTATAGGGCCATGATGGCGAACCTATGACACGCGGGCCACAGGTGGCACATGGAGTCATATCTGTGGGCACACAAGCGTTGCCCTATGTCAGCTCCGCCAGCTGATTTTCGGGCCTTCCGGGCCCACTGGAAATCGGGAAGTGGCTGTTTCCAGCCTCGGAGGGCCTCCAGGTGGAGTGGGGAAGGCCGTTTTCACCCTCTGCAGGCTCCTAGAAAGGCTCTGAAGCCTGGGGAGGGCAAAAAAGTGGCCTTCCGGTCTCACCGGAAGTCAGGAAACAGGCCGTTTCTGGTGTCCGGAGGGCCTCCGGGGGGGGCGTTTTTTCCCTCCCCAGGCTCCAGAGGAAAGCAGGCCTACCGGGCCCACTGTGCCACCACATGCCAAAAGCGAGAGGAGTGCGGGGGAGTCGTGCGCACATGCGCAGGGGGTCAGGAAGCATTGAATTATGGGTGTGGGCACGTGCACATGCAACCCCCCTGCAACCCCCACTTTTGGCACGCGACAGCAAAAAGATTAGCCATCACTGGTATAGGGTCTCCTGCTTGAGCGGGGGTTTGGACTAGATGACCTATAAGGTCCCTTCCAACTCTGTTAATCTGTTAAAAAAAGCATACACTTGTAAAGCAGAAAGGTGACTCCTTCCTCTAATTTCCTGGCTGGACCAGCCAAACATAAATAAGTTCCTCTTTCCTAGCTGAGGAACAGTGTTCTCTTCTGAGGGGAAGTAGCCCATTGCTTACGTAGACTAAGACCTAAAACAGCCCTCTCTGGTGCCCATCATGATGAGAAAGTTGAGACATAGCAGGAGAGAGACTCCTACTGCTGTGTCTTCCCTAGCATTGCCACAAAGTAGGCCTGAGTCTTATATGGGGTTTGTCTCACTTCCTGGGATCCCTGAACAAGGAGAAGATAAAGGGGACATGGACTGCTACTATGGTTGCTGACGAGTTGTATAATGCCAGCAAGAGGAGATAAGATTGTTCCTTCTTGACATGTCCTTTGCTTCCTTCCATGCTATTTCTCTGCTATGTGTGTTGTTTATTTATTTATTATTTAATACGCTACCCCTCTCACTATCCAAAGTGACTGGGTGGCTTACAACGTGATAAAAACATTTTTTAAAAAACATTAAAATAGGAATGAAGCTTCTGCTAGGCTTCAACCCTATATGGCTAGAATTGTGGTTCTTGTGAAGTCTGGCAGTGAGGGTAGTCTGGATCCTCCATGTGTGTGGATCCCAAGGTGGCCTCCTTCACCGCCTTCTCTATTTGTACATCCTTAGGAGGAGGCCTCCCATACAATGGTGGTTTCTTTAAAGCTGAAGATGAATATCCCCAATATTTTCCCTGCCAAACATCTCAGTCACATTGTTTTAATAAGCCGTAACATCAAGAGCACGTCCTGTTTTTAAATAATGATTTGCTAATAATGCAGTTGGAATGCACAGTGTTCATCCGCTCGCACTTCAAGCATGCAATAATGAAAAGCTTTACTACTTTGTAGTTTTTGTCTTTTTCCAAATTGTTGTAATCTTTAATGATGCCTGAAAATACGGACTTCAAAATACCAAAAAGAAACGTGTTTCAAAACCCTGTACTCATTTCAAGACAATTCTGAATATCAGAGTACATAAACACTGAGTTTATAACTGATTTATGGTGCTCTGGCAAGCAATCATTGTTCATGAGTTTATTACATATGTCTGATTTTTAATGTGCTGGCTTTCTTTTGACTTTGTTGTATCCTTCCCAGAGGCTGTAAATAATGTTCAATAAATACCTTTTTTTTTTTGCAAAATAAATGTGTGCATATGCTCTTGCTCTCTCCAAGTACAGTGGGACTATTTGAAACAACCCTGTGTTTTCCTTCTTCCAAATAATTTATATAGGTCTCGAGGACACATTCAGAACAGCAGCCACAGAAGTGAGCTTACTTGCAGGAAGTGAAGAATTCAATGCCACAAAGCTCTTTGAAGTTGGTAAGCAGATAATAGCAAAAAGGGTGGGGTTTTTCCTATCTTAAACTTAGCGTAGGTGACTTAGGTGGGCCCAAGTTCACTCCCTCAGGAATCTTTTGACAGTCATGATCTATACCACCATATATCGGCTGAGGGGGACATGAATTGTGATTGAAAGCATCCAGGCAGAGCTACATTTAAGACAGCTACCTCAGATTGTATGTTAGTGGCTCTGTATAAAAAGGGCCTCTAGTGTGAAGTGAGCTCTCAAATCTCACTCTGCCAACATTTTCTGGGTTTGAATGGAGCCTCCATCAACCTTTTCCAGGAGATCTGTGATTTCCAATGCAGAAATTCTGACAAAAGTGACTGTTTTCAGCTGTATCATGGGCGTTCCAAGTTAAATAACACGACGAAGACAAAAGGCAAGAGCTGAATAATACAGCTGAATATAATAAGTTCAGGAAGTCTTCTTGAACAATAAATAGCTTTATAAGATCTATCCACAGTGGTTAGGACATCGTTAAGTCAAAGGATCGCTTAGGAATGCAAACGAAAGCCAAGGATTTCCCTGAAATTTGCAAAATATTTGGACTTTAGATACATATTCACCACCTCATCACTCATGACCATTCCACTTATGGCACATCCTGACTTGGCCAGATTTCTTGCTATCTTACCAAATATTATAAGAGGAATATGAGTCATTTCTGGATTCAGTTATAAGAGGCTATTTTAATATCATCAGTTAAAAGAGAATAATAATTAGGACTTAATGCAGCTACTTTTTAAAAAAGAAATAGTGTGTAGTAGACAAAGACAAATTCAACTTTTATTTTTGCACAATAATAAGAAAGCACATGAAATGTTATATTCTGGTATCAGTGCATTACAGTATTCCTGCTTCAATTCCAGTACGGCTTAAGAATGTGTTTTGTTTTGTTTTAAACCAACAACTTCAGCAGCAACAAAAACTTGAGAATATAAGCATTCAAGGAGAAAGGATAGCAAATATATAAATTGTCACTGACATTGATTCTAAGAAATTTGCTTTGAGGCTCAAGAATGTGTTCTTTGAAAATAATATTGAAAGCATCTGGATTTATACATTGTTTTATTGGATTACTTTTAAATATTTTAAATAGCCTTTGGGGGCCAGATCCTTACAAGTCAGCTTATCAATCAATTAATAGAATTATTTCTGCAATAAAGAATACTTGTATAAAATAATTTAATTCAGCTTATGATTTTTTAAAAACAGAAACAGTTAGATATCAATCAATTAATTAAAAAATCCTGTCATAACTCTTGACTAAAAGTTTTGTTTTATGCTGATTTAAAGCTTGTACTAAAGGGATAAACATCCAGCCCTTGTGAAGAAATTGAGGAAAACATTACTTTACTAAAAAGTAATGTAACTCTTTGTTAAAATGTCACAGTGCTACTCGTTATCAAAACCTGCCTTTTGACACTTGAGAGATACAGTAAGACAAAGAAGGAGAACCTGTGGTCTTCCAGTTGTTGTCACATAACCTTAGCACATCCAGTGGGTGCTGGGAGTTGTAGTTTAGTAACATCTAGAGGGCCACAGATTACAAACCAATCAGTAAATCGTGCACTTAACGATTTTAATATGGTGTTTGGTTTTTTTTCCCCCCCTTTTGTCCTCCTTTCTCTTCTTCAGATACGGATAGCTGTGAAAGGTGGATGAGTTGCAAAAGTGAATTCTTAAAGAAGTACATGCACAAAGTAGTCAATGATCTTCCCCCTTGTCCTTGCACATACCCCACCGAAGTAGCTTATAGCACCGCAGAGATCTACGACCGTCTGAAAAGGAAGAACTTTCGCTGGAAAGATGCAAGTGGGCCAAAAGAAAAACTGGAGATCTATAAACCCAGTGCCCGCTACTGCATCCGGTCCATGCTGTCCTTGCAGAGTACCACCTTGGCAGCCCAGCACTGCTGCTATGACGACAGCATGCAGCTGATTACCCGAGGGAAAGGGGCTGGCACCCCCAACCTGATCAGCATCGAATTCTCTGCAGAACTTCATTACAAGGTGGATGTTTTGCCTTGGATCATTTGCAAAGGGGACTGGAGTAGGTACAATGAAGCTCGGCCACCTAACAATGGTCAGAAATGTACAGAAAATCCTTCGGAGGAAGACTATTACAAACAATTTCAGGAAGCAAGAGAGTACTGAAGACGAGTGTGGAGGAGCAGATTTCTTTGAAAACTTCAAAAAGATGTGTGGTGGCAAACAGGACGCTCCAGTGAATGAACCTTTGAAAATGGGATTTATCTCCCCACTCACTGTACATAGTTGTACAAAATATACAATTTTTCTAAAGTATTTTATTTATGTTTGCATGTAGATACGGCATATAGTCCCTCTCACCTTTGCACACATGAAAGTATCTCAACAAACCTTTATACACATTCTGCTTCCATTAAGATGAGTTTACACTCATATATCCCCATAGAGACTACATTAGCTGTAGTTAAAAGTGAGTATCATTGGATTTCACATGAAAAGAAAATTGCTTCTCAGTGCCTCAGCCATTCAGAATAAATGTTTGCTATTAGAAAGATCTACATATATTGAAAGTAGTATTGAAATGTGGTTTTTAGGAATACATTTTGAGGATAACATTTTGGCTCACTAAGAAAATAGTGACCAGATTCATTGCAGATATGATGAAAGTTAAGTTCAAATCAAATTGTTCCTTTGCTTTGCATCAAAAGACTGAACCTTGTGGCTGACTTCCAGAGAAATCCTGGGCTGGAGCATCTTGACATTGGAGGCTTTGACTATTCCAAAATACTCCTAGCATCAGGATGAGATTAGCAGGACCATAATCTGAAAGGAGTAGTTGTTATTGCTCCTGGTATTATTATTGTAATAGTTTAATTTTTCTCATGATTGTAAAGAGGCAGGATGAGGACCAAAAGCACTGTGGATTCTCAGCCCCTACTAACCTGCTGCCACACACATCCTTATGACCCTTTTCCCGTGTGGTTTTCTGACATCGGAAACAACAGAGAGAGGTTGATAGAGTGGATGGAAACAAGGATCCGGTGTCAAACTACCCAATCTGACATTACAATTCTGTCTCTGAGTCTGGAAGCAAAGAAAAAAACCCAAACCCTTCCCATTCTGCTCAGTCCCCACTCTGCAATCGTTCAAATGATTGCAGTTTCCCATTAATAAACCCCTACAGTTTACCTCTGATATGGGACTCCCTTATTCTGCCAAAAGCATATGCGTGCCTTCCAGATAGGATTGCTAAGTCAAAGCTAAGGAGTAGCAGAAATTTAAAAAAAAACCATAAATTAAATGATCTCTTTAGAGATAGATATGAATAAAGAAATAAAACGTACAAAAATATATTTAGACATATTTAAGGGAAGAAGAAAAGGGCAGAAGGCATGGACAATTATTTGCGAAGCAGGCAGATGCATTCATGAGCAAAGATTTTAAGGAAGCCTCAGAGCTTCCCTAAACCAAAATTGTGGTTCACATCTAAAGGATCTGGAATAGCAATACGCAGTAAATCTGACTAGCCAACTGGGAAAGCATCAAATGTGTTTCGGCCTCCAAAAGAGGGTTTGTGTATTTGATGAAAAGATGATGTGTCATTTTATGGCTGATAGGGCTTATTTCCTCTATCCTAACTGCTCATAAATAAGCAGTTTCTGTGTTCATCCTCTGGGATCTGTGTACATCAGGGGTGAAATCCAGCAGGTTCTGACAAGTTCTGGAGAACCGGTAGCAGAAATTTTGAGTACTTCGGAGAACCGGCAAATACTAACTGTGGCTGGCCCCAGAGTGGGGTGGGAATGGAGATTTTGCAATATCTTTCTCCCAGGAGAGGAGGGAATGGAGATTTTGCAGTATCCTTCCCCTGCCACGCCCACCAAGCCACACCCACAGAACTGGTAGGGAAAAAATTCAGATTTCACCCCTGGTGTACATGATATTCATCCTCTCCATTAAAGGTGCTTTAAATTCCTCTTTGCTAGCAGTGTAGAGACATGCTCTCTATGCCACTGCAATGTAATCCAGATACAGTAGATACAAATGTACCACTGGCAATGGGATTTAAATGGCATTCTGATACACTCATAGATATACAGTGTTAAGAAAAATAAGGCCCCTTCCACTGCAGAGCTTGCCGTACACATACTGCTTGGTGTTTAGAGAGATCTATTGCAGGGAACAATTTGAAGCAGAATCCTTGTGAGGCTTTAATTGTATGTATAAGCACATCTGAAAGGACATCTTTTTGGAAGAGAATTGATTTTAAACATCTTGCTCTCCCTCACTTTTCTATTATATTGCAAATGCATGCAGTGTGTTATCTTTTATTTTTTTAAAAGATTGATCAGTTCTGGGTGGGGATTGTCAATTCTTTAATTTAAACATATTACATTTGTAGCATACATATTTATTCATCTTTAGTTAGTAAGAATTTGTAAAGTTAAATTTGAAAGGTTAGAAACTTCCTGGTAACCCAAGATCGTTCCATAAGGAAATTACATAACAATCCAAAGCAAACTTACAAATGAAGCAATTCTAAAACATACACTAGTTTGTGTGTTCTCATTAAGTGAGTGCTAAAATGTTTCTTTTAAAATGCTCCACTGAAGAAAGCCAGCAGAACTGGTGAGAACCAGCCCACTGACTATGTCTCTTGATAGAATAACTTAATAGCCAAGTTTTATCTATGCAAGAATAGCTTCATTCTTAATGTTACTCTTTGTGTGTTTGTGTGTGTGTGTGTGTGTGTGTGTTTAAAGCAAACAGCTAAAGAAGGAAAAATAAAGTATTCTGTAACATACTATTAATGCTGCCTATTGTAACAAGACTCATTAAGGACAAACAGAGGACATTATTTTAATGTATATCTTTCACCTCATTTATTTGAACTCCAAGGGCATTTAACCTGCCAAGACAGAAATCCTTTGGCAGTCTGTAGCAATGTGTTTTCAAAATCATTGCAGCTTTTTCCACACCAGTTCTGGAACATTTTAAAAAGAAAACTATTTCTCCATCTGTGGTCCTTGGTGATTATATTTCAAAATAATATCATAGTTACTGATTTTGCTTGGAAAAAATATTTTAGCTTGCTAGGTTTTTTTTTTTGTTTTGTTTTTTAGTATCTCATTGACTAATGTAACAGAATATAGTCTGCTTAACTCCAACATGCAGGATTAAATTCACATCCAAAACTCGGGGGGTTTTAGGTAACGAAGTGTGAGCCTGTGTATAAATGTAATGTGATCTTTTGCTACATAAGTGCATCAGAAAACCCATAATATCAAGTAGTATCCAATTCATGGAGATTTACTGAGATAATATCCTTCACTCCTCTCTCTGGAAACTGCAATTATAGTGATGTGCCATCAAGTCAGGTCCAGGCCCTGCCTGGCAAATGTTTGACAATTGCCTTTCAACTTGCTCTGTTCTGACTAATACAGTAATATAGAGTTCTTCCAAAGGTATTCTTGCAATCTCATCGATTCTATCCACCTTCCCTTATGCATTGTCTTCCTCTTTGACTTCTCTCAAACTTCCTAATTTTTTTCTAGTCCCTCAACAAAAATACGTGAACCCCTGCTTGCTATTCACCTGGACAGCCAACAGTCAAGTATTAACTTCATCTTGGATTTAGAGATACTTTTAGGAATTACCTTCAAATCCACAATTCAAAAGCATCTTTCTTTGAACCCTTCTCAAAATCCAGCTTCCATAACTATATATTAACACTAAAAAAAATGCCATTCTTTATTTTGGTTGATTTAAAAGTATCGTGGTCTTTCATGATTTTGTTTATGATTGTCATTGTATTCCTCCCTTGGATTATCTCCTTTATTTCTCCAGTATATTGTCTAACTTCATTCTTGAGCACCAAAAAGAAAAAAAAGAGGAGATATATCCACACACACCCCTCTGCTTTCCTGTCAAATGTGAGTTTATTCTATATGCTGGATTTTGTTTTCATATTCGTCATTAACTCAAAATTTTAATGTGCCATTTTTATGCTCAGAATAAATTCTTCTATGTCTCTTTGTGTTTAATTGTCTATGCCATGATTGAGTTTATATACTTAACTATTTTAAACCAACTGTGGATTTTCTTTATAAACACTCTGCAACAAAATGCGTACTCCTGCTATGTGCATTTTCCCATTTATCATAAATATCTGCCTTTCAGTGTATCAATCTTCCAGTCACCGTCATGGGAAGCAGAAAGGTCAAGATGCACGCAGGAATTTGAACGGGCCATTTCCAAAACAGGCAATGATATGGCGAGAAGAAAAGGGAGGAAGAGTTGAAGTTTGGAGAAAAACAAGGAGAGTTCCAGCATTACTTAGCATGTAAACTATATACTAGGTTGGGCAGCTGACAGTCCTAAAGCTATATACAGCTCTTGGAATGATTCCAAGAGTTCTCCACAAGCAATCTGCTTCAAACACTGGCAAGCACAAACAGAGAAAGAAGGAGGCCTGAAAAGGAACGTCAGAAAGAGGGAAGCAGGAAAGGAAAGAGAGAGATAAATTACCTGCTTTCATGCCTGCCACACATACCCACCCACCCCCCTCCATCCCCACAATTTGGACCAGTGGATTAGGCTGTTATAAATTCCTTAGATCAATGGGTTAAATCCAGATGTAGATATATGCAAAAGTTATGGCAAAATGTCTCCTCCCTTACTCCTTTTTCTAAAAAAAATCCCAACAACCCAGAATGTTCTAGATTAAAGGGATCCTGCTGTATGGAATGAGCCACGTGCCAGGGAAATCTGACTGAAATCTGACAGGGCCTGCAGATTATTAGTGTGGGGCAGGGATTAAGGCGATTCCCTTAACCCAGTTGGGAAAATTGGGCTGCAGCCTAATGAGATTATTGGTTTGAGTGATGGCCAAAAACAAAACAAAACAAAAAGATACTGACAAAACCAAATTGAAGACATAAATCACTGCTGAGCAAATAACCTTAGACAAGCTCTGTTGCCTTAATACGGAAGATAAAAGTAGGATAAGAAAGGCCTGATTAAATGACCCTCTAACTGGCCAAAGACATAAGCAGAAGTTATTTTTCAGCATGGAGGAAAAATGGTATACTCACCCTCCCCATCTCCAAAAGAGGAGAAATAAGAAGAAGATTTATTTAAGTGAATTTGTATCTGGTTATAATTCTTGTTTTTTTTTTCCAGTGGAAAGTTGCTGAGGCAGTTTCCATTCTACTATTCCCACACAGTACAAGGAAAATTAAGGGGCTGACATAGTAATTACTTGTCCATGTCTGTGCCTACACATTTGTAAATAAAGACAGGAAATCTTTCAGTCATTCACTCTTCAGTTCTCTCACAGACATGGGTACTGTTAGCAGCACTTGGAGAATCCACAAGGTAGCCACAACTACAACTCTTGTTTTATTCTCCAAGGAATAACAGTGCCACACTTTTGACAAAACTGCTTGAATGTCAGACTAATATGGAAATGAGAAGACTGCATGAAGAAATCTCCCTTTGAATCTGAAAGTTGCTTTAAAAATTCATATATTTTAGAAGTCAGACCAGCTTTGTAGCCCATCACAGGAGGGTGGAAGGAAGGTATTGTTGGTTGATGTGAATGGGCTAACTTGAGCAAACGTACCAATCACTGCTACTGACATTGGTTTTGCATCTTCAAAAGAGAACTAATGGCTTGCTTTTGAAATCCCCAAGCCATTGGGAAGAGTCTTTAAAGTCTGTCCATCCTTCTCAGCACATATTTATGATTAAGCTATATGGGACTTAACCAAATAAAGGTCTGTATTCCTAGTCAAATGATCCTCTATATTCCAAACAGTCTCAGTTTGATGTGTCATCTTGAAAGTCTTTACTAGAATAAAACAAATACACTGCGCTATAGCTCAAGTGTAATTTAGGTCAAAGCAAAGCTCTTGGTGATGCCAAAAAATCTTCCTTAAGGGGATTAAATTTTAAATTTTTCTTTGATCATGCTTGAAATTAATATGCTTGAGCTGGAAAATGCTGTAAAAATGTCTAGGAGGCTAAACAGATCACAGCTCTCTATGGTAGACAGCCTTTTAGCAAAAAAGTACAGAGACATGATTCCCACCACTTTGTATAGTTCACAACTATTTTCATGAGGCAAGACACTTGTTTTTGTTCCTTTGTTTCCCTGAACTGAACTTCTTGTCCCTGGAAATAATTTACCAGCACTAGGACTAGAAAGGGGAAACAATGGAAAATGGTTGCTTCTTTCTTTCTTTTTTTAACCTGCCAGTTCTTTTGCAAACAATGTGGGCTCAGGCTTCCATTTTCTAAGCATGGGAGGCATTGATAGAGGAGAAGGACTGTTCTCTTACCATCCTGATCAAAGCCATGTTTCCTGGGTCAAAGTATTAATAGATACCATCTGCTGCTATATATAAATTGTATTGGTCCTATGCCTTATTTCCATTCACGAGTAATGTTGTTGCCTATGAAAACACAATAACAATTGCTCCCAAAGGCTGTATAGACACGGATTGTGTCCTACACTTCAGGATGTTTTTATAACTATAAAAGGAGGGAGAGGAGGGGAGGGAAAGGATGAATGGATGACTGAACAGAATTGGGGAAATTTGAATTGCACTGGACAAGTTTAACTGAACTCATGGAAACCCTAGCCAGACTAGAAAACTGAAATCACTTCTCTTGCATTTACTTTCTTGGTAAAAATCTACTTCTCAACAGCTCAGGGCTTCCACAGCCCAAAACTATGTGCACTCTCCTGCTGATGGTCCATGAGGTCTATTCTTGGTAGAGGGTTTGAACCCCACAAAAGAAGTTCTAGGTATGTATCTGTGACAAATCCCAATAAGGATAAAACCAATCCCTTGTTGATCGATATTCTTCTTTGAAGATATGTGGGTTTTACTCAGGGCCGGATTTTCCTATAGGCTAACTAGGCTTCAGCCTAGGGCCTCAAGATCAAGAGGGGCCTACACAGTGGTGGGATTCTGGGGGTTCTAGGGGGTTCGGCCGAACCCTTTGTTAAATTGCTGGCTCGTCCGCCCCTCGCCTCCCATCCGCGCGGCGCCAGCCTACTGTAGCCAGGGGTGGGCAATTGTGACTCTTTTACAACCTGTGGACTTCAACTTCCAGAATTCCTGAGACAGCTTGGCTGTCTCAGGAATTCTGGGAGTTGAAGGCCACAGGTTGTAAAAGAGCCACAATTGCCCACCCCTTCCCTAGCCTGAGTTCTGCTGCCTGGGATCCACGTGGGCTGCCACGTGGTTCCCCACCGGCTCCGGACGCAAGAGAGCAGGATGGAGAAAGCAGCTTCCACGCCTTCACTCACCCTCACTCTCTGCTCTGTTGGATCGCCGGCCGTTCGCTTACCCCGCCCACTCTGGAGTCCCAGCTGATGGCTCCGGAGTCCCAGCTGATGGCTAGAGGAAAAAAAACTTCAAATTCTTGCCGCGGGGCTTCAAAGGGCCGCCCTAGAGCCAGTGGTGCAGCCGAACCCTTTGTTAAATTGCTGGCTTGCCCCGTCCCTCCGCACCACTATTTATTGCCAATAAATAGTGGTGGGTGAGGGGTGGGGGAGCCAGCAATTTAACAAAGGGTTCTGTGTTTTTTTTGTAATTTTATTGGCCCCCGGAACTTCAGCATAGGCTAATTGGCCTCCCGGCTCTCAGCTGATTTGTCTCAGCTGTTTTGCTCAGGGCTCTTCTGCTTCCTTGCAAAGAGTGCTGATTTTTTTTCCCCTACCTATGCTGAGAAACGAAAGTGAAACTGCTTTGCTGTTGCTGCAAGGTTGGAAAATTAGGCAGGCAGAATTCTTTTCTTTTTCCTCACCAAAAAAGGTAGGTGCAAACAATGGGAAATTTAGGGAAAAAGAGGAGAGTTCAGGATTTTAAAACACAAAAGAAAAAAAGCTCTATTTAACTAGGGAATTGTAATAATTGAGATACTATTAATTGTATATTTCTGAAAGCAGAAATGGTTAAGTTGTGGTTTGGAGGAATATATGGGGGAAATTATTTGGTTTATTATTATTGGTAAATATAATTAATTGATTTGTAAGAAATTGGATTGCATGGAAATAATTGGAATATTCATGTTCATATTGATTAATATACAAAAAAGGTAGTTATATAACTAATTGATTTATATTAAAATGTTGAATTTATATTAAACAACTAATATTACATAATTAACCAATGTGAGGATGGATATAAAAATAGATGACAATGGGAAGGGGTATAATATAGAATAGGAGGGGAAAATTGAATTTGATTAAGATTAGAGATGAGGATGAAGGGTAATATTGGTTTTTTACAAAAATAGATGAGGAATAAATATGGCAAAAAGGAAATATAGAAATTGTAAATTTAATTGAAATGACTAAACACTGTTTAAATTTGTGAACCGGCCAAACACTCTGTTCAAAGAAAATATATTGTATGTTTGTATGTGTGTTTCTAATTATTGTTATTTATTCATATTTGTTCTCTTTTATTCTTTAAAGTTTAACAATTCATTCTTTATCTTAATATCTTTATATTTGTTTGGGGTTGGCTTTCTTCCCTTTCATCTTTTTTATTGTACAGCAATCTTTCTCCTCAAACCTACCACCTCTCTCTTTTCTTTCCTTCTTACTTTCTCTTCCTCCCCCTCTTCTTCTCCTCCCTACTTCCTCTTCCTTTCTCCTTCTCCTCCTCTCTTCCTCCCTCTCTTACCCTCCCTCCTACTCTAATTTCCTTTCCCTTCCTTCATCCCTCTCTATTGCTGTATCCTTTTATGCATATGGACTACTCAGAGGGCTGAAAAAGTTATTTCTGACTAGTCCTCGCACTTTTGACCAGTCCTCGAACTTACGACTGTCCTCACATTTTACGTTTTTGCCCTATCTTGTCACCATGGTGAAGAGAAGCAGTTGTGAAATGAGTGACATGGTTGTTAAGGATGCTGCATGGGCATAAATGTGAGGATGGTCATAAGTGTGAGGACCGGTCAAAAGTGCGAGGCCCAGTCAGAAATGACTTTTTTCAGCCCTCTGAAAAAAGTCTATGCACATAGC